GAGAGAGAGAAAGAGAGAGAGGGGGGTAATATATAAAAAGGGTTTATGACTCGTAGTAGAAGAAAATCCATGACGTTACAAACTTCAAAATGTAAATCTGAGCTTCAAGACATAGACTGAACTTGAGGCCAATAAAATACGGATAGATCTGACTTGATCGACACGGAACAAGAAATACAATGTACTTCTACGGTATACTAGAAAACAAACTGAAAGTTAGAAGCAACCACTTTTTAGCCCTTTCCCCCTGTACATCACCCAAAGACCTACTTTTCACACACACTCACGCAAAGTCTCGACGTGCACTCGCTATGTATAAATATAAAACCTGTGTGCTGTCAATACCTTTCCAATGACGCTGTCCCACGAAGATGAAGTCTAGAATCAGATACTGTACACTGTACTAGACTCACAATCACGTACACATTGAACAAATTTAACCCAGAATTTCCGGTCCGATTCAAAGGTTCTTCTCTTCTTTGCTCTTCTCTGCTCTCAGTTCACTGTTCTAAGAGAACTGTGTCAAATGCTAATTTTAGAAATTAGAGTCTAGCTGGGGTGAAGGGGAAAAAGGGGAAAGGGGAAAAGGCCGGGGGAGGAGGAGGGTGTATTGTTTTAGGCCCAGACCCTGACAGCCGAACGTTGGGCGCTGCTCTCTCCTCGTTAAAATTACCCCTATAACATGACTGGCCGGAACGAAGGTTCACCGGCCCAGGGTCCTGGCCAAGTAAGGGAACTCGGGGAAGTAGGTGAGGAAGAGAACACAAAACAGAACCATGGGTGGCTTAAAACGCAATAGAAATAATTATGCAACACTTGATGTACAAGCAGTGATAAGAGACAGGTTGAAAGATGAATGTAACTGAATAAATTATGTAATATAATATGTATTTGTACTGCAGGCGTGTCCGTCCTTTGTAAGTAACAGAGAGGCCAATTGGCAATTTGAAGCCGTCTCTTTGGTTCTCTGGGCAAAAGTGAATTCGCCCGGAGGCTGACGTCTCCGCCGCGCGGGCGCTGTTCCGAAAGGTCTCGCGCCTCGCGGCCTCGCGCAGATAAGTTTCACCTTGTGATGGGCGCAGGGCTTGCTAAAATTATCTAGTACGCCGTGGATGGGCTATTTAACATGCGAGCCGGCGTGATAAACAAAAGATGAAGGAAAAGGTCTTTGTAGTGCGACAACACACCAAAGAACCACTATTGTTTCTCAGAGCGCCTTCAAATCGGCCGAGTGTTTTCTGAACGTTTAATGTGTATTTACGTACTTGAAACTAAATAACAATTATCGTCAGCAATCAATCTCTGTCCACTGTACAGCCGACAAAAACTGACCAGCGCCGCCGGTCTTACCCAGTAAATGAACCGCGCCTGCCAACCACCTACAAATGACAACATAGCAGAAAAGACACGTCAAGAAGTGCAAAACGTCAACATTTGAATTAAGTCTGATATTTTAATGGGACTTTCTGACACTGTCAAAAATATGAAAGCGTTAGAGAATCAGGTCACTACCACATGCCAGGAAAAAATATTTTTAACCCGGCTGTACCAAGGCACTCATAAGTCAAAGGCAAAATTTAGCATTGAAATAACCGATCATGCAAACTGGACACATTGTTGTATTTTCTTTCTGTTAATATGGCCATAACTGTGGCCGTACGAAAATCTACACGTCTAACAATATGTACAGTTACATCAAGATGTATAAATCTGGTTCGAATGGTGTACTGGCACTTGTCAGCAAAACTCAAAGATCTGAACCAAAATAAATTAACTAAAAAGCACATGAACAACCAAAGTAATTTATGATGTTGATCATTTCGAATACTAGGCTCTTGATACTTCACCAGAGCAGCAGGCTGGGAAGAAAAACACTCATCCTTGGATGGAATTCAAACTTCATCGTGTTTGCCAAATCCATTGCTCATCCATTTGACGTCACAGGAGGAAATAGAATCATACTCACTGAGCCCATACCTTCTACATACAACAGCAAATCGTTTCATGAGAATTTTTAAGCTCTTTGCCAGTTTGTTACCTCAGAATTACACAGTTGTATCTGACATTTTTGGCTGTTTTGAAGTACTAAAACCATACGGTCAAAAACCAAATGCTCTCTCTGCTTTCTCAAAATAGTAAGAATATTCGGAGTCGTTATCAAGATATTCAAAGAATTGCTTTCGAAAAGGCTTGACATTTTGTTAAACTCAATTTTTTTATGTCCAATGTCTCAAAACTAAGTACTTAGCAGATTAAACTTTGTAATTCTAAGGTAGCGACTTGTCATGTTTCCAGACGCTGTCGTGTGCTGATTATATGGGAACATCATGATATAATGTGCGTCAAAATAGGAAACCAGATAGAAATGTGTTATGTGAACTTCGGAGAGAGATTTAAAATGTGTGAATCAGAAAAATCAATGAATGGCACATGACATGTGAAGAAATGCGGATATTATAATACTGCATATCTATTTAAACTTCAGGCCTATCCACTTACGACACAATGTATTTTTATTTCTTTGTTTATTGAAGACTATCCCTCCTTTATACTCAAACAAGTTTGCAGCATCACAAATGTCCCTATTACTCCGCTCCTAAGCAATATTGCTATTTGCATAAATAAACACAAAAACTTGTGTATGAATGAATGAAATGATACAAGAAATGACCCTTACAGTTTGATTATAAATAAGACGAATTGACTGGAGATAGGTAGATTTTTGCTGTTACTGTAAAGAACGGAGTAATGGCGTGGGCCAGCTAAATTGATGCGCCGTACTTTCAGAATAAAGGACACAAGTCTGTATTTTTGACTGACCTCAATCCTTTACGGAAGTGGCGGGAACCCTCTGAAGCCTGAACAGAGATCCAAGTGCCCTACCATTAAAATTCTGCTAGCTGGATGCAAATGGATTCATAGTCTAATATTTAAAGTATGTAAAATGACGAAACGCCTCGCATTTATTCTCGCTGTCTTATATTCCATGCGAAAAACTACGTCTCATACACTTTACAAGGTAGTGCATTGGGACTCCTCACTGGACACAAAGATAAGAGGATAGGTCTTTGGAGCATGAGAAATGTGTAAAACTTACTCCAAGTTGAAACCTCAAATATCTATCATTCGTCAGGTCTTCATCCCAAACAGGGGCAGAGTCGCCGTATTTGAGTTAATTGGGGGGGGGGGGGGTTCTCTGCTTCAGTTGTTTTAAAGCGTTTTCAAAACTGATAGGCCACGTAAGTGCCGAAGATTAGAAGTGTCAATACCAAAGGGTAAAGAAAACAAGGGGGAGAGATAAGGACGATAGATGTTTGAATGGAAAGAAGGAGCAAGCCACACCACAGCGCCCACACTTTGTTGAAGCTAACAACAAAATATACAGAGAGTAAAACTGATATATTCTACTTTATGAAGTAAAGACATGACATAATCATCGCCGCAAGACAACTGACGCAGGCACAATAGTACATGGGCGGCCAGGCAGTCCCTACAGCGTGCATGAGTGGGCCCATGGCGCAACTGACAACGAGGTAATGGGCGGTGAGCAGGAAGCCGACCATGGCGGTAACTCTGCCCAAATTATGGTGGCTGCCCTTCTTCCCGTCTTCACTCTCCTCACACTCGAGCTGTAGAAGAAAAGAGAAGATAGTGTACATGGGTGGACATTCTGTCAGTGATATGACAGAATGATGTATCGGGATTAGAGCTACTCAGGATCGATTGTTGACCCTTGTCAGTACGCCAAGATCAGTCAATACAGATAATTGAAGCACTATGTAATATATATAAATGTACCCATTGGCACCTATAGGCATATGTTTTTCAGTGTTTCATGTAGAGGATGTGTGGACCACCTTGTAGTGCCCGGTATTTGATCCCAAATAATAAATAAAGATTTGTTTTTTTTAAAATAGCAGCCCACTTCTATAACGCCATCTCCCTGGTGGCTCTAGGCGCTTAACAATAAAAAAAATTTAAAACATTTAACATTTAACGTTTCATGCATACTGGCGATAATTTCAACATCCAGCAATTCTTTACAAATGCATTTATACATTCCTACTTCGCCAAATAACACTACACAAAAAGACAATTGTTGTGGCAACGGACCACTTGTTGTTGCGAAGAACATTTTCTGACTACAGAAAAGGTAAAATCTGCTTTTGTGTTCATTAACGCACCACCACAACCTTTCTGTCATCAGCCCCCCCCCCCTTTCCCAACTCAATCCCCCGCTCAACTTCCCTACTCTATGGCATCTTCTTTGAGATGTTGTGCTGATTACATTTTGGTTCTGCACAGTGCGAATTTTACGGCATTTCCAGTACACTTAGATCATGTAAGTGCCGAAGATTGAAGTGCTGCGAGCGAGTAACATACAGAGAAAAGAAGAAGAGATAAGGATGATAAATGCTAGACAGAATCAAAGGAGCAAAAAAAAAAAAAAAACCCAGAGCCCCCGCCAACCACCCACAACTAGGAACGTGAAATGCACCGTGCTCACCGACACCGACTGGCCCGGCTGGGAATACTGCGTGGCCAGAAGAAAAGGCACCGTGTAGCTCATACTCTTGTGAAGACCACAGAACAACATGGTACAGAAGTAGGCGGCGAGATGGCTGGTATAGACAAACACGAGACACGCTGCGGTCATCAGAAGGTTGGCCACGATGAACAGAGCGCGGGGACCTGAGGGGAAATGGAAGAATAGCATTCATCGAAAATGTTTTATGTCACCGTCGACACGATATAGATTATTTAGCAGGCGGGCTGCTCGACTTGTCTGTGTGGGCCAGCCTAGAGATAAGTGGGATACAGCACCCGAGCAAGCAAAGTGCAGAGTTAATAAAAAATAAAAATAATAACATTAATAAAAATAATAACATTAATAATAATAATAATAATAATAATAATAATAATAATAATAATAATAATAATAATAATAATGATAATAATAATAACATTAATAATAATAATAATAATAATAATAATAATGATGATGATGATAATGAGAAAATGAGAAAAATAATAACATTAATAATAATAATAATAATAATAATAATAATAATAATAATAATAATAATAATAGAAATAATGGTATAATAATAACAACAATAATGACTGGTCATAATAGTTATAATAGTCATAATAATAAGAGTCATAATAATAATAATGATTAGCTATGTTAAGCATTTCCATTTTCTAAACTGTTTAAAGTGCAGTCCTGCCCAAGAGAGATCATGTTTTAAAAGTGCAGGAGTAAATGCAGAACATAACATCAAAATATTATACATAAAATGTCAATGAAATAAAAATTATCATGCAGTGAGTCTGGCAACAATAATGAGAAAAACTATTTTTTTTAAAATAATAAATAGGATTTCAATAAAAATTCACTTACGGTCACAGTAACATCCACTGGAAAGGCTTTTAAAAAACTATAAAGCTTTTGTTCTCTCCTCTCCTCTCCTCTCTCTTTCTCTCTCTCTCTCTCTCTCTCTCTCTCTCTCTCTCTCTCTCTCTCTCTCTCTCTCTCTCTCTCTCTCTCTCTCTCTCTCTCTCTCTCCTCTCCTCTCTCCTCTCCTCTCTCTCTCTCTCTCTAACGCACACTCATACACACAAACACACACACACACACACACACACACACACACACACACACACACACACACACACACACACACACACACACGTGTAATTTCTTGAACCTCACGTTCATGTATACAGATATCCGAAAATTTCACATCGTTTTGACAAGTGTATGCATTTGTGAATAAGTAATGTTTCAGCTCTTTCTTGAAAAAAAGAACAATGGGGGCAGTCCTTATTTTATTTGGACCTAGCTCCATACATGGGAATCAACGTAAAAAGGAACATTCACCATGGGTCCTATAAATAAGTAGGGTTCTTAGGATCAGTTTTTCGTTGGCTGGTCTAAGAGCTGTGGGTGTGTGATATAACTCCAAGCATTTTATAATACATGTATGCAGGTGCAGTATCATTTAGATATATATGTATAACAAAAAGCCGGCAGTTTTATATTCGATCATTTGTTTTACTGGCAGCCAACAGAGTTCTTGGACGACAGGTGTCTCGTATCAAATTTCGTTCGTTCCATTATTACTTATTTTGCTGCTTGATTTTGACAAAAGTGTAACTTTGAAAGTTTTTACCCGCCCTACCAGACATGATAGCGTTACAGTAATATAATTTTGATAAGAATTAGTATTGTATCTAATGTCATGGTTGCTGCTGAAGTTAATTGATTTGTACACTGCGAATGATTTTCGTTGGAAATATCTACTTCTGCTGGGTTGTGTGTAGAAGAAATTCATCTTAACAGTTCTTTAAAAGCCTAGTGGGTATAGGGTCCAAAAGTGCATGATTTTGATGGATCAACTAAAACAATCTGTATGATTTTCTCTTCTGTAGCCAGAATAAACGATGGCTGTTCCATCAAACTAGCGGTAATTTGGAAAATTGGGCTCATTATTGCCGAGACCTTGTCCGATTAAAAATGGAAACGACTCTGAGCACGGCGTTAACATGACATTCAAAAGGAAACTTCCATGGTTGTTGACGTTCACCCTGTGGTGTAGGGCAGACCCACAAGGAAGACACAATGTCCAGTTGAAAAAGACCAAGCCAATCATGGTGCACAGAAAAACTGCTAATTCGGCACGGACTTTTTGTTTTCCTAAATGTCATTACTCTCACTGTCAAATAACGAATCCACTGGTATAAAAATCCACTATAGACGAAATGATTTTAAAAGCTCAAAACCGTAAATATGTTGAGATATTAAGGAGTAACCTGTAAAGTGCTCAACACAACTCCAATGTTATAGTGACTTCAAAAGTCATGGGCCATGGTGATAACGATGTGCTGCCATATTATAAAGCCGTGCAAAATTAAGGTAGTTTTCATTCATATTTATTTCTTTTGTTTCATGTGATTTTGTTTTCAGTTTTTGTTTTTGTTTTTCTTTTTTGTGTGTATGTGTTTTGCTCCTGCTTTTTAGAAATGTCATTGTTTTGATCTTTTGAGCTGGCACTGATTTTCTGAGATATTGGTATTGTACACTGCTTCTCTGGTAATATAAAAGAAATCGTACATATCTTGTAAAGAGATACATTTTCCATAACAATTGTGAAGTGGCCAATTTCATTTTTACGATAAAATATAGTAAAACACTTCTCGACGACTAAGATGATGTTTCAATAAAGAATAAATGCGTACAGAACTCACCTGCAATGTCCAGAATCTTTTTGTTGCAAAAGCTCAGGATGAAATAGGCCACGTAGTAAGTGAACACACCCACAGAGCACATGCGCAGACCACGTTCATAGTTTTCCCTGGCCTCCGAGCCTTGCGCGGCCTTGGGGTCTCCTTTATATACGGCGATGGTCAGAGAGTTGGATGCAAAGGACTTAAATGCCACCAAAGTGCCGTAGGAAAAGAAGGACGCAATCATAAGGATGACAAGTCTCTTATTGAAAAGGTTTGATCCAGCAGAGATACTTGAAGACGTGTGTGCCCGGTTGGCGTTGTTTTTCGGTGATATTTCCTTGTCGTTGACCGAAACAAAAGGTACAGTCTCTTCAGATGTATTCGATACAATGTTTTGAAAGTGATCAAAACTGTTGCTTAAACGCCAACCCTGAGAAGTCTTGGTCTCGTGACTGATCGCTTTATTACCGATTTGAATATTATTTTTATTGTGAATCTGCCGTTGGTAAAAGTCTCCTAAATTATCGTTGGGAGCAGAGATAGCTTGGGCGGTAATATCTGAGTCAGATAAAGTATATTCCCAGTCTACATCATCGGGTGTATAAATGCAATCAGCATACTCTTCTCCACCTATTTCGCTGGCTGTATGAGATGGTTCAAGCTGCTGATCATTCCGACTACCCTGGTAATCAGGAAAATACTGCGATGGCGTAAATCCTAAAGATGAAGTATGTATACTATTTTGGTCGTATCCGTTTTCTATACGTGATTTAGACTCTGCAGTATTCCCAAAATTATCTTCGTGCGTCTTTATTGAAACATCTTCCTCCGTGGGAATCTCTTTATATTCATGACTATTATTTCCCCGCTTGCAGGAACTAAAACAACAGCCCGCACAGCCACGGCGGGCGGGGGCCTCAGGACCAGCTTGCTCGACATGATCTTCTGAGTCCATCTCTGCCGATGTTTTCGTCTTTTTTACCCAAAAGCCAGCACACACGGTTATAGAAAACGATAAAGTGGCGAAAAGCCCAGTGAAACTGCATACAAACAGCAGGGTTCCTGCCATCCTGTCAATATGTAAAACAGCCCCAAACAGATTCGGCACGTTGAGGAGACCCATTCCAGACAGACACATGCCGGCAACGGATGACGTCGCAGTGGCCGTAGCTAAGATCCTAGAGTGTTGCCAGGAAGGAACAATCTCAAGGATGAATGCTCTGGTGGGAGACATACTGACTCCAAAGCTCAAGGCTAAGAAAGCGAATCCGAGAATAGCTAAGACAACTCTAACAGGTAGGTGCGATAATTCAGAGGAGATGTCGTCAACAGGCACAATTGTTGTTGTGATATAGGAAGAATCAGGATGAGTAAAGGAAATATTGGACGACATGCTGGATGTGTTTTTAAAAACGCTGTAAGCTCCGGGCAAGATTCTGGACGTATATAATAGATTTTTGGGCATATTCGAGAGAAAATTGAGCGTGTCGGGCAGAACATTCAACTTGTCAGGCGAGAGAGTATTGGCCCTCCCGGAAAGAACATCAGACACGTTGGGCAGGGCATCTCTTGAGTGTGACATCACACTATGGTTGATTGTGGAACCAATGTTTTGCGAACTGTCTACGCTTTCAATTTCTATTCGGTCCAAAAACACAGCTCTTGTAGAGCTAAACGCTGTCAAGTTCGACGGGGTACCTTTTTCAAACGGCATACTTTTGTTTCGGCCCATTTGATGACGATCCAAGTCTGTGTTGACAGTACTCCAGTGTGAGCCGTTGGTCGTTTCTATAGATCCGTTCTGCACAACTCCAGATGCCGTGTCGGATTGTATTTTGAAGACTGTGGACGCAGAGATCAAGGACACGGCTGTCAGGAGCGTACCGAGCCCAATGAACAGAGCGACTGCTTTCCGAAACTGTCGAAGAGAAGAAATTCCAAGATAAAAATGTGTTTGTATATTGACATTTCATTTTTTATTCTCCTATTTTAAAGAAGCAACAGAAATGTGTATTGAAACAATTTCTGGAAGGAAAAGAAATCAAATCAATTGATACTTGAAGAAGCCGGTCGCTGATAAAAACAAATGGGAAGAGACACAATTTTTCTGGGACACTTGAATAGACATAAAAGACATCTCGCACTCACTGGTAAAACGGAAGGCTAATAAGGCAGGAGTAGACCCAGAGCAACTTACTTGGAGAGCCCTAAGCAGATGGTGACGGGGAAAGATGAGGATAATAATGATAGCTTTTTTAGAGCATCGGAGCAATGGAAAACTGTGACCATCGGTGTCTGTCGTAGATCTGGCAATTGATGACGATGATC